CATTTTTCAATTTACATGAGTTTGTAGGCTTTCTGCAATTAATGTTGTTTTTGAATTCTAACTTTAAGTCATGGTGATCTGAGAAGATACAGGGATTATATCAACTTTCTTGTTGGTGTTTTTTTATGACAACTGATATCAGGCCTTCACTAGATGTGCTCAACCACCAGTAATCTATGGATGGCAAAGGATTTCACAGAGACCTAACACTTACTAATAACCTATTTACAACTAATATGTTCTGGATAAGAGGGAGGCCTTTTATCCAATTGTGTATCAGCTGGTGAGCAAACCAGGCTATAATAGTGAGTTCCAAATCCATGATTACCCAGACAACACTACTTAAATTAGGAGACAAGAAAATGTCATTAACATGGACAGGAGATTTCTAGGGAACAAGCAAACTTGCAATTAGTGAATGAAATAAGAGATAATATGGAGAAAATAACCATACTATATTACATACAGGATTGTCTGTTGTGAACTATGTGAACAACAACTGAATTTGAGATACATTTCACAAGAAATCCATATATATGAAATTGTCAAAGAAAATATTTATTAGTGAAAATGCTACAAAATAAAATCAACTCCATTAATTAAGTGATGGAAATTCTATCACCTAAAACTATAAACTGAATGGGAAATGTACATTGAGATACTGGAGTATATTTCTGATAACGTAAGTCACTAATTGACTCAACAAAAGTATAGAAATATTATATATAACAATTAAGAAAGACTGACTTGAATTTTTACATGAATTTTTATTTAAATTACAATCCCATTTTATATATGAATCTCAGTTCCCTCTCCCTCCCATCCTCCCATGCCCCCACTTACCCCTCATGTTGTCCCCCATCCACTCCCCAGGGAGGGGGAGGCCTTCCATGGGGGATTATCAAAGTCTGTCACATTTGGGGCAGGGCCTAGGCTCTCCCCATATATCTAGGTTGAGAGAGTATCCATCCACGGGGAATGGGCTCCCGAAGTCCATTTGTACACTAGGGATACCTACTGGTTCCTCTGCCAGAGGCCCCATAGACTGCCCAGGCCTCCTAACTGACAACCACTTTCAGAGGGCTTGGTTCAGTCTTTCGCAGGCTCCCCAGCTGTGAGACTGGGGTCCATGAGCTCCCCCATGCTCAGGTCAGCTGATTCTGTGGGTTTCTCCACCATAGTCTTGGTCCCTTTGCTCATCACTCCTCCCTCTCTACAACTGAAATTCAGGAGTTTGGTTCAATGCTTAGGTGAAGATCTCTGCTTCTGCTTCTATCAGCTACTTAATGAAAGCTCTAGGATGGCATTTAAGGTAGTCATCAATCTCATTATATGGGAAGGGCATTTAAGGTAGCATCTCTACTATTGCTTAGATTCTTAGTTTAGATCATTCTTGTGGATCACTGGACATTTTCCTAGTGCCAGATTTATAAACCTGTAATGGTCCTGTCTATGAAGGTATCTCTTTTCTTGCTCTCCTCTATTATTCCTGACTCAATCTTCCTGATCCCTCATGTTCTCCCCCTCATTCTCTTTCTCCTACCCAATGCCATGCTTCCAATTTGCTCAGGAGCTATTATCCCTTTCCCTGTCTCCTGGGTTTCTCCCTGTTTCCTAGCTTCTCTGGAGGTTTGGATTGTAGACTGGTAATCCTTTGCTCTATGTCTAATATCCATATAGGAGTGAGTACATACCATAATTATCTGTGACTGAATTGCCTCATTCAAGATGGTTTCTTCTAGTTCTATCCATTTGCCTGTGAATTTCAAGATTTCATTTTTTTCCTGCTGAATAGTACTCCATTGTGTAAATGTACCACATTTTCTTTATCCATTCTTTGGTTGAGGGGATCAAATAACATGTATTAAATGTCTATGATCTAGATGATACTGCATGGTCTATCTATTAAGTCCTGATAACAATCACTGAAGGAAGTAATTGTGTATACATAAATCAAACCTAAAAATGGACACGTTAAGAAACACACAAAATTATTGAAATTTTCAAATGAAAGATCAAATATTGTGCCTTAGGTCCTTAATTCAGTGTTTTAATATTAAAATAAAGTGATTGCCATGTAATAAAATTTCAGAGCACACACCATTGTTAGTTATTTGCTTAGGGTTTCATTAGTCAGTATTATTTTATTCAAATTCATCAAAAATTCAGGTAGTTAGTATTCTATATAAGTATGAATATGTACTTTGATTATTATTTCATACTTGTGTAGGTAGTTTCTAATATTTATTGTATTTTTAACTGCATAATATGATGGGTAGACTCAGTATAATTGTATGTCAGATTAGTTTACTGAAGCTTAAAGATGATAAACTAATTATACACATGCATGTATTCTTTTAGTGATTTGTGGAACCGTATAGTATATAGAAACAAAGTTGTTTAAGCCTTAAGCAAAAAGCATTCTTGTAGTGATGTTAGGAAGAATGTGCTTCCTTTCTTTTGGATTCTCAGTCTCATTAATAAAGGAATTTCACAAGATACCAAGACAGACTCTCAAGGATAAATTTGCAGGCAAATGGATAGAACTAGAAAAAAATCATTCTCCGTGAGATAACCCAGAGAGAGAAAACCAAATATGGTATGATTTTATTTGTAAGTGGACATTAGCTGTTATTTAAATGATAATTAAGCTACAATCCACAGACCCAGAAAGGTTAGTTAAAGAATTGGACTATAGGGTGGAAGCATAGTTCTCCCTGGGAAATGGAAACAAATACATTCTGATGGTGGACTGGGACATATGATGGGAGGAGGAATCAGGTAAGGGGTATGGAGGGAGAGAGTGCAGGGAGAGACAGCTGGAATTGGGGAGGATTTGGTACACGGTGTGGAAATTTAGTACAGTGGAAACTTTCTGGAATCTGGGAGGGTGATCCTAGTGAGGACTTCTAGTAATGGAGGATAGAATGTGAACTGGTCATCTGTTGTACCTAGGCATGGCTTCCAGTGGTGGGACTGGGTTATATTTGGCTGCGTTGTTGATCAAGGAATTCTCATTGAAATCTCTAAATAATGCAGGCTGATTCTAGTAAATAAGGTTGGCCTTTGAAAACTTACAGCAAGGCCTATTACTGAGGATCACTTCCACTCAATTCACTGCTAAATAGATGTTGAGCTGGTACAGGCTGGAAACCTTCGTAGCTACATTCTAGTATCTGTTATGAGAAAGTCCAACTGTGTACTAACACAGCCACAAAACCATCCAACTAGTCTGTCCTGCCTGCAAGATGTGCTGGGGCATTGCTGGCATAGAACTTTTGTGAGTGGCCAATTGATCTTTTCCTTAACTTGGGGCCAACAACAGAAGAGGGAGCCCATGCCTTACACAGCCTGCATGGCCAGAAATAAGAGTGGATACCCAAAGATTTAGTGTAGAACCAAACATGACTGGCAAAGATATATTTAACACACACACACACAGGCACTCACGCACGCATGCACATGTGCACACATGAACATGATCCCATTTAGGGAACATAAACACTGAAAGATAAAGCACCACCATGGTCTTCTGTGCTTGGAGGTACAGGATGCTATGATGCATGATGATGGTCAGGTCCCAGGCCATAACCCCAAGAAGAGAGCTTTCTTCTTCCATATAAGGCGTCAAATCTGCATACTTAAGCCATGCCCTAAGACTCTGAAACTATTGGCCGAAACCAATTCCCACTATATATTAAAGAAATGATTCTCAGTGATATTATGCTTTACTCAGATCAGTGCCTTGTCCAGTCATCATCAGAGAGACTTCCTCTGGCAACTGATGGAAGCAGGTGCAGAGGCACATAGACAGACTTTATGAGAGAAGAGAGTCTAAACTGGAGGGCTCTACTGGGTTCATCCCCTTGGAGAATAGGGTACCCTGTAGAAGATAGAGAGGAAAGATTATAGGTGTCAGAGGGAATGGAATACACCAGGAAAACATGGCCCACTGAATCAACTAAACAGGGCTCATATATGCTCATAGAAACTGAATTGGCAAGCACAGGGTCTGAACCAGGTCTTCTGTATATATGTTGTGGAGTTAGCTTGGTACTCTTGAGAGAGTTAACAGTGGGAGTGGGGCCCGGCGTTGGTGGTGCACGCCTTTAATCCCAGCACTCGGGAGGCAGAGGCAGGCGGATCTCTGTGAGTTCGAGACCAGCCTGGTCTACAGAGCGAGTTCCAGGACAGCCTCCAAAGCCACAGAGAAACCCTGTCTCGAAAAACCAAAACAAACAAACAAAAAAAAAAACCAAAAATCAGTGGGACTAGGTTTATCGCTGATTCTTTTTCCTGCTCTTAAGACTTTTCCTCCTAAGCTGCTTTGCCCAGCCTCAATATGACTTTTGCCATTTCTTACAGTGTCTCATTTTGCCCTTTCTGCCTGTCATCTGTTGGAGATCTGCTCTTTTCTGGTAGGGAGACAGAGGGGAAGTGGATCTGGGAAAGAGGGAAGGTGTTGGTGGGTAACGAGGAGGAGTGGAGTGAGGAAAATCTGTAGTTATGATGTATTATATGAGAAGAAGAATTTACTTTCAATAAAAAAGAGGATTAAAGTTTCTGGCAAAAATAAAAGGATATATTTTGAGAAGACACAAATCAATTGATCTCATCATGTAACCCACAGACTAAAACCATCTCAATATTTAACCCATGGACTAGGCTATTTTTTTTTTTTACAAAACTCTCAAGTTGTATCTATGGCTTCAAGTTTGTAAAGGAGTTTCTGACAACTTGTTGTAAAATATGAACACGATGGTTCACTCTTCCCACTGCCAGGCTAATCTTAGACTACACTAGGAAGACTGAAATAGATTATTGATATACACTTAATTCTAAAAGCAAACCAAGCAAGAAAAACATACTCAGGTATATGGTGTTATGCATATTATGAGAAAAATATTTTAAAATCATTAACTTTAGAATAAAACACATTGTTACTTAGTATAACAACTACTTATCTTTCTAACAAAATACAAAGACACAATCTGACAGAAGTGGATTTATTTCGTTTCTAACTTGTGTGCCCCATCGTTAGAGGAAAACATAATGAATAGAGACTTGTTCACAGTGATGGGTAGAGGCAATGGCTTCTGCTTACATGGTGCCACCTATGAAGGAAAGAGGGAGGCCACAAGTTAGGCAGGTATATATATATTTCCCCTTGGAACTCTAAATCCCACATCTACCAACCTACTCCACCTTTTCAAGGTTTCACAGTCTCCCAAAACAACTTCTAGCTGAGAAAAATGTTTAAATTCGTGATATTTCAAGCACCATTTTAGAATGAAGTATAACATAGCAATAAAGGAGAGACTGCTGGAGAGTAGATGATAATTACAATCACCATGAAAAACTTAAAAAGAAATAAAATGAAATGTTATACTACTGTGTGTTGAAATAAAATTGATGGCAATATATCTCATTTTTATAAAACAAACTTGGAAAATCGTCATAAAGCAATTTTGTGTGTATGTGTTGTTTTTGCTTTATTTTTAATTTAAATTAGAAACAAGCTTGTTTTATATGCGAATTCCAGTTGCCTCTCCCTCCCCTCCTCTCCTGACCCCCACCAACACCCAATCCCAACCCCTTTCTGCAGGGAGGGTGAGGCCTTCCATAGGGGATCTTCAAGGTCTGTCATATCAAATAAAGCAATATTAAACTTTAGAAAGCAGTTACATTTTCTCACCTAAGAATGGTAAATTGCCACACATGGTCTTCACTGGCTTTAAATTCTTCGTTTCTTATGTTTACCTGAAAAACAAAAGATGGTGATAGAAACTGCATCCTCACAAGTATCAACTCACACAATGTGGGTACTGAGGACTTGTGCTAGGGTATGCATACTTTAGGGTATGAAAAAACCTTCCATGTATAATAGACATAAATTCAAGCAAAAAAGAAATGAAATGCCATTCTGATTATAAAGAACAAATTAATCATAAAAAGAGAAACATATTAGAATAAGAAACAATTAACCATAATGCATGAAATAGGTGTATATATTTCTATATTCCATATCCATGAATAATGCAAAAATGAAAAATATGCTGTAAGTCTTATATCTATTCCATCAACTATTGATGAAGATCAAGCAGCACTGCTGTAATAAACATTAACATGTGTTTCTGAGTTTGTACGAATAGAAGCCTTATTCATTAATTGCTTGTGGATGTTTGAATTGGTATCATAACTAGCGAAAAAATACTTTGGGGTTGCTGGAAAAAAATTAAACATAGAATTACAATGTGATTCAGGTATTCAATTCTTAGGGTCATATTTTGAATCCAAAACAGGGACACACACAGTAATATTTTCAGTATTACAATACAAAAAGATTGGTCACCTAAACTTCCATGAAGCTGAGAACTTTGATCCCTCAAATTCTCAAGGAGTTTTCTCACCTGAAGAAGTAGTTTCTCCACCATCATTAGAAGGCATACTCCACCCGTAAACCCTAAAATATTGCCATTTATACCTTTGACTATGGAAATTAATCTTTATTGTCTGCTAAACTAAAAATGACTTTTCATGAAGGAAATGCCAGGCCAGACAATAATGATGATCTTCAGGGACCACCAACTGTTGCCTCTATACCTATAATCAGACTCAAAGACAACTAGGCTCCTAACTGGGAGCTAAAAATTTAGTCCACAAGATGAAAATATAATCAACTAAAGAGCTTAGTGAATTTATTAATTCATTTAAGCAGAAATCTAGGGAATATTTTTGGGAATGGATTTTAAGGGTATGGATAATGGTGGATCAGGCTGAGTTTCCTGATGTGGGGCTATTGAGTGGAGATTTCTACATTTAATATGGAATTTTGCAGTTAAAAAAGGTACAAAAAGTTTGTTTGAGTAGTGGAATAAAGTATTTGTTGAAACATGGCCTACTGAAAAGTCATTGTTGATGCTTGATATCCTGTGGCTTAGTGTTGATGAAGGGATGTTAAGGCTCAGGGAAATTGCAATGCTAGAGTAGGTATTCTGTGTAAAACCAAATTCTCCACAGTGACAAGGCCCAGAAGATATACCATTCACTAATCATATAAGATACAAAATGGTGAGAAGGGCACAGGCACTTCCAGACTTAGTGATTTTATAGACACAGAAGTGCTTAAAAAAAGGGATGGCCAGGTTTCCCCGAGGAAGAACCTTATAAAATAGCTAAAAGTTTTACTGTTAGCCTTTTCCCAGTTTGTCCCCAGAGGGATCTGTAGCTTTTTTACAATGGTACCTAACTTTACTGGCTGGTTTTGTGCGTCAAATTGACACAAGGTAGTGTTATCAGAGGAAGGAGTCTCAGTTGAATAAATGTCTCAATGAGATTCAGATGTAAGACACAGTCATATTTAGTGATCAATCGGGGAGGGTTAGCTCATGGTGGTTGGTGCCAACCCTGGGCTGCTGGTCCTAAGATCTACATGAAGGTAGACATAACAAGCCAGTAAGCATCTCTCCTCCATGGCCTCTGAAACTACTCCTGCCTCCAGGATCCTGCCCTGTTTGAGTTCCTTTCCTGACTTCCTTCAGTGACGAACAGCGATGGTAATGTATAAGTCAGATGAATTCTTTTCTACCAAACTTGCTTTTTGATTGTGGTATTTTGTCACAGCAATAGAAAAGTTAAGACAAATTGGAAACAGTGTTCTATGGGGGCCTACAGAACAAGGAACAGATTGGACCCCACAAAAAGTCCCCTTGACAAATAATAATTAAACCACAAAATATACAGAATAAAGAAAGAATATTAAGAGCTACAAATGAAAAAGCCCAAATAGCATACAAAGGCAGACCCATCAGAATAACACCTGACTTCTCAATGGAAACCCTGAAAGGAAGAAGGCCCTGGGCAGATGTTATGCAGTGACTAGGAGACAACAAATGGCAACCTAGACTGCTATACTCAAAAAGGCTTTCAATCACTATAGATGGAGAAACCAAGATATTTAATGACAAAAACAGACCTAAACAACACCTATCCACAAATCCAGCCCTACAGAAAGCACTAGAAGGAAAACCCAAACCCAAGAAAATTACCTGTACCCATGAAAGTGCAGGCAATAGATAATCCCACACAACCAAATCCTAAAGAAGTGAAACACACATTCTACCACTAAAAATAACAGGAATTAGCAATCACTGATCATTCATATCTCTTAATATCAACAGACCCAACTTTCCTACAAAAAGACACAGTATAACAGAATGGACATAAAAAGAGGATCCATCCTTCTGTCACATACAAGAAACACACCTCAACCTCAAAGACAGACATTTTCTCAGTGTAAAGGGTTGGGAAAAGACTTTCCAAACAAATGAACGTAGCTATCCTAATATCTACCAAAATAGATTTCAAATTAAAAGTAATCAAAAGAAATAAAGAAGGACATTTCATATTCATCACAGGAAAAATCCATCAGGTTGAAGTCACAATCCTGAACATTTATGCCCCAAATAAAATTGTGCACATATTTGTAAAAGAAACATTACTAAAGCTTAAATTACATATCAAACCCCACATAATAATAGTGGGAGACTTCAACACCCCACTGTCACTAGTGCGCAGGTCTGCCAGAGAATTAACAGAGAAATGAGAGAACTAACAGATATTATGACCCAAATGGACTTAACAGGCATCTATAAACATTCCACTCTAACAAAAGAGAATATACCTTCTTCTCAGCATCTCATGGAACCTACTCTAAAACTGACCATATACTCAGTCACAAAACAAGTATCAACAGATACAAAAAAAATTGGAAAAAGCCCCTGTATCTTATCACATCATCATGGCTTAAAGTAAGAATTCAACAACAACACAAATATCAGAAAGCCAAAAAGCTCATGGAAACTGAACAATGCCTAACTGAATCACCCTGGGTCAAGGAAGAAATAAAGAAATTAAAGATCCTAGAATTCAATGTAAATGAATGTACAATGTACCCAAAATAAGGAGACACTATGACAGCAGTAGTGTATCATTGGTGTTGAAAAACATAATACACAAATTTGGAAGGAATTTAAAGCTACTATAAGACTAACACAAAACAAAATAATTCTTAAGTAGTCCAAAGAGATAAATACATTATTAAAATTTTAATTTTCTTCAATGAAATCCATTAAGAATCTTATGTCTATAGAAACTGATATTTTGCTTTATTCTTTTTCCTATGACCATAATATCTATTGTTCTTGGAAAAAACATAACATTGCATGAAAATTGCACATTACTTTTTTACCTTTGCTTTTTTTTGAGACAGGGTATTTCTTTATACCCCAGGCTGCCCTTGAACAAGTGTAATCATTTTTGCATGAGACTTCCTGGTATATTGAAGGTGTGATCCACCAGGTAAAATTAAAAAGAAAACTCATTTTAAAGGGGAAATTATATGAGTTTCCCAAAAATAAATAATCCCTTGAGGACTGTTTTTTAAATACATTTGAGATATAATACAGACAGATATTATAGTATATACAAAAAAATCTAGAAATGTACAAGATTTCACAGTAAAAAATATCTAGGCCTAAAATCCTTTTTAGAGTGGAAGGACACAAGTAGTCAACAGCAGCTTTACTGAAGAATACAAAACTGTGAGGCCAAGCAGATGGTTCAATGGGGATGAGGTCTAGCTCTTCAGCCTGAAGACTTAAATTTAATCCCTGAGGTGCATACTGTAGGAAAGAATCCTGGATCAGAAAGAAAATTTAACATATCTAATATCTAGCCATAAAATAAATGTTGACATATCTTCAATATTAGTGATACAGGTTATAAAACACGCAGTCTTGGAATTGGCTTCTAGAAACATATTTGTGTTCCTAGGTGTTAGCAGAATAAAGATCTATGAGACTAAGTTTCCAGTGTATCTCCCTGACCACTTTCAAAGAGAGGGAGTCACTTAAACAGTGAACTGGGCTCTGCCTGGTGTCATATAAATGATATACTACTTTTAACTGGCTGCATCAATATTCATCAGGATGGTTCTCTATTTCTTTAATATATTTCTTAAGCTAATCCCAAAGCCAAATACAGAGAAACTTGACAAATACTGTAATTACCTGAAGTCTTTTTTGTCCCTGTCTTTCCAGGGCCATTTTTTCCTCTAAGTGTAGGATGAAGATTGGATTCATATTCACTAGCCACATCAGCCACAGGATCAATGGTCACTACTACGTATTTAGTATCATCGTCAGGCCCAGATGTTCTGGCCCGTTTGTTGCTGGGACCTGCTATGCCACTGCTGTGTGTAGATGCACTATTGCAGGGTGAGCTGTCATGATTATATTCCCACCCAGTACCAGTTTCAACTTGTTGCTTCTTTCCTGGATGGACACTGTTTATGGCATCTATCTCCTTTTCCTTTTCAGGGATGACACTGGGTGCTTGCTGAGTTTTATACTCATTGCTGCCTAATGATTTCTCTTCAGAAGCATCATTTTCATTAGAACTTGAATACATTTTCTTGATGAGTTCATCAAATTGAGGGTCTGGATCTAATGACCTTTTTGAAATTAGTTTTCTTCTACACACAGGACATTCTTTGTTGCCACGTCTAAGGGCTGTGATGATACAATCTTTACAGAATCGATGGAAACAGTCCTTGGTGATCCTGGTGTTCTTCAATGTATCCAAGCATATTGGACACATGAAGATATTCCAGTCAGGACAGCTTGAAGCCACCATGTCACTTGATGTTGCCTCCTGAGATGTTGCAGGTAATTGTACAGTTGGATCTGCTGTTTCACTTACTCGGTGTACTTCATAGGCTTGAACTGCCTGTGACATTATGGATTCTGACAAAGCCTGAGGCTCCTCTCCTCTCAAATTGGGCTGGGCTAGAAATTTGGTGTTGATCTCGGATTCTTCCATCTACACTGAGTACCTGCTTACCCAACTGTACTGGGAGACTTTATGCATGTAAAAACCTACAAAGATTTAAAAGAAAGAGAATGTTAGCATGATAAGGCAAAAAATCAGAGTTTTATAGTCTGACACTTCAACAGTTAATAGGTGCAATATCATAGGAAATACATATCAAAAAGAATAGACTGAAAAACTAATTTACCCCCAAATATATGTTTGAAGAAACATTTTCATCAGGAAACAACAAAAAAATAAAAAGGAAATGGCAACTTGACAAATTTTAAGAAGAGTTTACAACACTAACTATAAAAGCACAGAAATTAAGACATGCTAAGTCAGAAGGGTGAAATCCTATTCCTACACAAAGAACTATAATCAATTAATGAATGTTGAGAAAGAGTTAGCCTCTCCCAGGTATGAGTCCCCTGATTGGTTATCCAATTTGAAGTAGTCAGGACTGAAGCCATATTCAAACAAGAACATAAAAAGATTTTACAGGTATGTGAATATATTTATGGATATATACATATACATATATAGGGTGTATGTGTAAAACAGTAATAAAAAAGAGGCCATCAATTGGAGAGGGAGTGGGGTGCCATAGGAATGGTTGGAGGAAAAGGGAAGGGGAAAAATGATGCAACTATACTTTAGTTTAAATTTTAAGAAAGAAAAATTAATCAAGCTAAAATAAAATAATTTTATGAAGAAACACCATGACCAAGCCAATTCTTACAGAGAAAAAACAATTGGCATGAGATTTAGTCCATTATCATCATGGTTCAACATAGTGATATTCAGGCAATCATGTGCTGGAGAAGAAACTGAGAGTCTTACATCTTCATCCACGCGCAACAGGAAATGGTATGAGAAACAGGGTGTGGCTTGAGTATATATGAAACCACAAAGCCCACCTCCACAGTGACACACTTCCTCCAACAAGGCCATACCTTCTCCAACAAAGCGCACATCCTACTAGTATCCCTCTCTATGAGCCAATTACACTCAAACCATCACAACTATAAGGACAAATAATCACGTATTTTAATTGTAAAAATATCCTAGTTGTTTCTCTCATCTCTGGGTCTAATACATATAGTGCATACACAAAATTATTCATACACTGGCATGACAAGAGCCTAAGTGTGCTCAGGGAGACTGAATGAAATTAGTAAGATGAGGAGGTGTAGAGGGCGAATTTATGAGCTGTGAATATGGTCAGAGTACATGATATACTTGAAAGTTTTTATGAACCCCATCAGTATGTACACAAAATTTAGGGCAATAAAAAAGAAAGCCTCAAGAATACCTGGAAAAGGCTAGCTCTACATGATGTTGCTAGCTGTACATGAGAAATAATCAAACTCTATCTAAATTGAGTGGAGACATCTTTGAAGTTGTTTTAGACCATAAACAACAGGATATTGTGAAGACTATCCCATTAGTTTTCCTTCATCTAGTAGATACCAAATTCATCCATAAGCTAGGCTGTGACTTGGAGGAACATGGTTGGCCTAGCAGGCATAAGTCCATGGATTTTATCCCCAGTGTCATACACAGAAACACCATTATATTATAGGCCATGTAAAGTCATAAAAGAGTATATTCAATGAAAATATTTGAGAAACATCTGTTAATGAACAATCACTCACAAATAAAAAGTATGTGTGAGAGGAGGGAAAGGGGTTACCAGAAGTGATTTACTAGCTTAAAAAATGTGACACACAATGCATATTTCCTATTCTAAAAGGACTGCCTCTAGGTGCATTATTGGTATCAAAGACCTTCCTATTATAAAAAAGATTATTGAATATTGTGAAATGATTTCATGATTGAACCAGTCTACAAAAGTTGATCAACATATAACAAATTATTTTGAGCAAACTAGTACAAACAGATGGTTGCTATGTATTCAACCTTACCTTCTTTGTTAGTGTGGTTTGTGCTATATGTTGAATGATAAATTTCTTAAAGAACAAGCTTAACTTACAGGGCATCAGAATATCTGAGATGACAACTTGATGGAATCAGATGATTTGCCATGAAATGAACTGCAAAGTTGAAAATGAAAATGAGAATCTGTCATTATTTCCACATGAGAATGTTTTTCAATTTAAATGCAGTGTTCTCATCAGACAATTGTCAAACCTTAAAACCACAAGTGCAAGAACACGGCTTGTGTGTATGGGAGTTTACAGTCAATTAAAGACTCATGATCTTCTACATGACTTCCAAATTGTATACTAAGACAGTTCCACAGTGATACAGCTAGAAAAAAATTAAAGGAGTATACCTTTATTCTTCTCAAAACAATTTGAGATGACTTAATATTTATAATTCATAGATATTCCCCTAAGATGAAAATTTAAAAGATATAAACTTCTAAGACAAAAGTATTGTATACCATCATGGAAAGTTCTAGGTAAAAGCAACTTATAGAGCTAAATATAAAGGGTAATATACATTCTTTCATAGTCACATTATTTAAAAACAACATTAACATTGCTATTAGTTGACCCTAAAGGCAAATATTCCTTCCTTGTTGGTTCTCTCTAAAAACTCAGAGAAACTGTATCTTCTGAGCCCTGACCTGCGGAATATGTTTTCCTTAAGAGGGTGAAATCTGAATCAAAGCTATGCTGTGTTCTGCATGTTGAAAGTCTGCTTTGAGCCATACACTGGAGAGGACAGTGTAATGACAGGCCAATTTAAAGGGCTATACTATTAATAAGTACTTCCGGTACTTAAGATAGAGAATCCATCAAAGACATCCATACTATTTTCCCGGGTTTGATGGAGCTACTATGGCTTTCCCAAAAGACCATACCATATAGTACTGATCACCAGATGCCCCAAGGCAGTCTCTTGCCACTGATATAGTCAGAAAAGGCACCACAGACAATGTATGGCTAAATTAAGTCTGGAGTCATGTCAGAGGAGTTAATCTCATTAATCATTATGTCTTTAGTTCTCACATACATTACAATGTCCACTTTCTTGCCAAGTTAATACCTTGTAATATCTGGAGGCAACTCCTCTTCAGTCTCTCTTGCCTCCCTTTCCATGATACTATCTTTAACCCATTTTTAATTTCTGCTGCCACCCAGCTTGTCTATTTTGCTTCTTTTTTGGTGCACATGTGAGCACTGCTATATGCTCAAGCATTATGGAAACAGCTATTTTAAACTGAATGTTTTTTTTGTTTTTTTTTGCTGTGCACTGAATATATCAGTAGGTGGAATAAAGCCTTTCCTATACAATGTTCAGTACTGACAACAGTCAGAATTATCTTCCATCCATAGTCTTAACTCTGGCACACTGTCATGTTCTATCAGTCATGCCTATTAATGGACATTTTACCCAAGACGCACAGGAAGGAACAGCAAAGGAAAACACTGGGAAATGACTAAAAACTGCTGGGATTTCTCAGTGTATCCTTCTGTTTCCATCTGAAAAATCTTGAGAGACAAGACACTATTGAACTTAATCAGAAGAATGATTGTCCTGCTGCCAGAGAAACAGAATGCAGTACCACTGTCCCATTACCTCTAATTCCTCTTTATGGTGACCAAAACAGGAGCCATCTCAATGGGCTTTGGGGTTTATTCATATCTTGTTTATATTAGGATGTAGAAGTGTTCATCTATTATGATTTTTTTGTTTGTTCTCTATAGCAACGAATGGTACTCCTAGTGTCTTCCTCCTATATTGTCTGGCATTTTTTCCAAGCACTTTGTAATCACTTCACACTGAGCCCTACCCACCTGCTTCACCCTCAGTAGGTCTGCTCTCTTCCACCTGCAACAAATCTTCTATTTTGTTGCTGATGGCTTTGCCTTCCATTCAACACCAACTATTGGGTCCCTGATGGAGTTATCCACTTTTGATCATTCCTGTGGATGTGAGGCTTCTTTTCTTGAGCACAGTCCTTTCCTTTCCCTCTGGCTTTTCTCAAATTCCTGGCACCAAGTGACTGTGTCTCTCCAGCGCTCAGAGCCCTTGGCACCCTCCCCTTGAGTGACTACTCACTGAGTTGTCTGAACCTGTCACAAAAACCGGCCCTCTCTGAATTCCTAGGATGCTAGGCATTGCAGACCCCTAGGTAGTACTCCGCTGCCTCACTTATGGGAGCTGGGCCATCGTCTACACCTCCTTGCTCCCATTGGGATGTTCTTTTGGAGACCCACGGCCCATTCCTAATCAGCTATTGTTGCAGGACTACCAGCTGTTGGCGATAGAGCTGGAGGCACAATGCTATCAGACATGCCCATGTGCTGTGGTGACGGGAAAGGATCAGGTTCTTTAAATCCTAGGGAGTTGACTTGAATCTACCTTGAACACTATCATGCCAGGTTCAGGTGGCACCTGATGGTTCCACAGAGCCTGGCGAGTGAACTGAAACAGCCAGTTTTCCCAAGTTCCCCCAAAGACGAATGACACCCCCAGGTCAACAGTAAGTAGTTTCAAGAACTTGGAGTCCTCATCCCTGCCTCACCTGCTACCCCTTTCTAATGCTTCATCTTTTTATAATAAATAAAAATGGAAGAATGGTAGTATTTAGGCACTTGTACTGGCCTGCCTTTGGAGTTCTGACAAGATACACCCTCAGCTGCTGCCACTATGAGCACCACTTGTGCCTATTCACTGTGTTCCCTTTTAAAAAGGGCTCTGCCCAACTCCCTTCTCTCTGTTTCTGTCTCTCTCTCACTCTCATTGCCTCTCTTTCCTCTTCCCTGCTATTCCTGTGCCAGGAGGCAGGTCTCCTCCTTCCCCCACCCCTGTCCACTCCACCCCTTTTTTTTTGGTTTTTCGAGACAGGGTTTCTCTGTATTGTTTTGGAGGCTGTCCTGGAATCGTCTCTGTAGACCAGGCTGGCCTCGAACTCACAGAGATCCACCTGCCTCTGCCTCCGGTGCGCCACCAACGCCCAGCCACTTTCCCCTTTCTTTTCCCCTAATAAAAACCCCTGCTTGGACTCTATCATATGGTGTCTTTCTCTCTCACATTGCTTTTTAAAATTACAACAGAGGGGTCAGTTGAAGTAGGACCAGGTTCTATCCCTGGTGCGTGAGGCAGCTTTTTTGAGCCTGTTCCCTATGATGGCATGACATGCCCAGCCTTAATGCATGAGGAAGGGCTTGGCCATGCCTCAGCTTAATGTACCAGGCTTTGTTTATGACCCATGGAAGCCCTTACCCTTTGGGAGGATTGGATGGGGGTGGGCTCAGGGGGAGGCGTGTGTGGGCAGGAGGACAGGTGGGAGGGAGGAGGAGTGGAAGGGAAAATAGTGGTTGGAATGTAAAATGAAATTTTAAAAGTAAATAAATTAAAAAGCACTGAAAAACAAAGAAATAACACGGGTCCTAGGATCTAGATTAATCTTTAAAATATTTTAACAACTAAATATGACATAAAAAGAAAATACATCAATATTTACACAACATCTTTTGGAGTTTCATAAATTACAGAATAAGTGAACCCTCAAAACAAGATGAAATACCATGTTAGTTGTCTATTACAGCACTAAAACTCTGTTTCCGTGAAGGATATCTGCACTATTTTGAGGGAGATTCTGAATTCAAATGGACATCAATACAATGCTTATTACTGGGGCTAGGATGCACAGTAGTATGGCCACTGAAATTGACCATGAAGTTCATATAACAATAAGATAGCGAAATAATTTCTATGAACCATAACCTACTCTTAAGTAGATACAAAACTTCTGAACATAAGACCTCTGTAATCCCCATAACCTTATAAAGGAGATTATTTCAGCAGCCAGCTACCAACTAAATGGACACCAGCTTATTACTGTATGAAAGTAAAGTAAAATACCAACTCAGATAACCCTTACTAGAACTTTCAAAATTCAAAGGAAAGTTATTCTCCTGTAAAATTCAAGAGAAGTTAAGAAGACATGTTACCTGGTGGTACTGAGCAAGCAGACTGGCTGTGATTACTGAAGTAACAAGTTTCCTATAACAACAGAAGGGTGATGCGGTTTATGACCTCATAATACATAGGCTACCCATTTCTGCTGGCCTATACTCGGCTATTAGGATTTTAAAATTGGTGTAAGATGAAAGACTAAGGTTAGAAAATGAAGAAAAACTTTCAAGAAGAAGTAGAAACATTGTAGATTCTTTCACAGTCCCCAGGAGTATAAAGTGAACATTAGCTTTCTGTGTTAGGCATAAAAATCTTTACTGTCTGAGGTACAGTTCAATGGTAACAATGTTCCCACAGCATGTTAAGTTCCCTAGCAAACCAGGAAGTTAGGAAGCTTGGGCAGTCTATGGGGTCTCTCTAGCAGTGGAACGAGTATTTATCGCTAGTGCAGGAAAGGACTTTGGGAGCCCATTCTCCCTAGGAAGAATAATCTCTCAGCCTAGATACATGGGGGAGGGCCTATGTCCTGCTCTAAATGATGTGACAGACTTTGATGATCCCTCATGGAAGGCCTCACTCTCCATGGGAAGTAAATTGTGGGTGGAGTGGGATACAGGAGTCGGTAGGGGGCATGGGAGCATGGGAGGGAGAGGGAACTGGGATTGATATGTAAAATAAGATTGTTTCTAATTTAAATAAAAATTTATATAGAAAAAGAAGTTTGTTTATGCCAGGAAGTGGTAGCACATGGTGTTATTCCCAGCACTCAGGAGGAAGAGATGGAAAGATCTCTAAGTTTGAGGCCAGACTGATCTACAGAGCAAGTTCCAGGACTACAAAGAGAAAAAAGTGACAAAAAAATTAAAGTAAAAAAACTCAAACAGACAAAATAGAAACTTGTTCAGTATTTTGTGACACTTTTATCACCTTTATTATGAGGAGATAGTTTCAAATTATGTCCTGGTCCTTATAACAGAGGTTGCTACTAGGTTTGTACGTAGAGAGCATTGACTTCTTCACAATTGAGCTCTTGGTTAAGGGACATGGTTTCTCATTTTCAAACCTCATCCCTGCTCCAGAAATATTTTTCTGTGTTCAAGATATTAATAATCCTATGAAAGGTTATGTTTTGATAGTTATTTATCTTCTTTAAAAATTA